AACATTCAATTGCCCATCAGAGTGCCCCTGTAAGACTACACCCTACCTTGAGGGCAGGCATGAGCTGTGCCGGGATCCTTGCTGGACGCTTTTGTACAAGCAGGGAGCGGCAGCCGGAGAGACAGTGAGCTGAAAGGGGCAGGGCACACACGTGATGTCAGGTTGACGTGATGACTGCCCTGGTCAGCGGCGGATCTCTCATTGCGGGATGGCGGTCTGGGTGGCAGCGCTCCTGGGGCCATTCGCGGACCGCTGTCCACCATTTAGTGACCGCTGCTCTATTACAAGAGTAAGGGAGGGATCAGCCGTGTTAACAATGGAATGTGATTGCTGATATGACCAAACACAGCAATCACATGGTACCCAACCTCTTGGATCAGCTCGGTACAGTAATTCTGTGCAGTAAGCCCTCTTAGGCCTGGTTCACACCTATGAGATTTTTCAGTGCTTTTTGCGGTTTACAGAAACTCACTACAGTCCATTTAACATGGTTTCCTATGGAACACATTCACATCTATGGATGTCAAGCCACTGTGTTTTTGGATAGGGTCAAGGACCTTGTTCTTGCAGCAGATTAGATTACAACACACATAGGTGTGAATCAGGCCTAATGATGGCTCAGTACTTAGTGGGAGGAAAAAGCAACCAATCTGCCATTTTAAACTGCATCCTGGCAGAAAAAGGGTTAATTACACACACAATTTTCCTCTTTGCCCTGTGCATTCGACTCAGACCAGTCTTTTTTAACTGTTATGCAAACCTTCCCCTATAAATTCTTTTTGAGGATCTTGTCATGGCGATCTGGATTCTGCATAAGAAAACTGCAGCTCTCTGCAAAAGCATGTAGTAAACACTTTGTTTTCTGTGTGCTTCATCCACACCTCCTCACCACTGTCATCTATGGGGCAGAGTGGTATGGAAAAATGCAACATGTCTGTATTTTTCCACACTGCTCCATAGGTCTCTGAGGGACCCTGCATTTTTATGCACAGCAGCTTTGCCCTTTGCTGGAGCTGTGATTTCTACCTGCACATAAAAACAGAACATTTTTCTCTGCAGGTAGTGTGACTCTGCCCTTAGTCTGAGCCAGTTCAGTCCTAGTTAGATTCCCCCTTTTTTTTCCTGATCCCTCTATCAATTCTAGTTCTCCGCAGAAACAGGGCTCAGGAATGTCAATACTTTCTTACACTTTAAAAGACTTAAACACATCCTCTGTACTGCACTTATCTGAAGAAAAATTGTGATGGATTCAACAGTTAAGCTGCCTATGAATGGTTCCAAGTCAGCAGGTGACCATGCTGTCCAGACAGACTGGTTCTATAGAGGTATGTCAATGCATCAATTGACATTTGAAACAGAACACCAGCTGCATCCCACTTGAGGATAGTTCTGAACTATGTATGTATAATGATGAATTTACCAGGGGACCAAGCCTCTAGTAGAACTAATAAAAACCTGCAAAAACAGAGCGCCATACCACCTGATGGGCCCCATTTTGTAATGACTCAACAGCAACCCCAAAGACTCCAAGCTTGCAAGATGAGCTTGAGTGAAACCTCACTCAAGAGCATCCCTCTGCACTTTCCAAGCACTCCAAACTCTTTCATGCTGATCAAGAAACCAAATACCTATGCCAGCTGCATTCAGATGCACCACATCATCTCTCCAAAATCTGATCATCTAATCTGATCATCTAATCTAAGTGGTAGTAAACTTTTTAAGTAGAAAAAAAAGTTTCCTGTTGCAAGGAAATATCATAATGTGCTAGCATGTATGCATAAAAGACTTACCTTAGAATGAAGCCCTCCAGCGGCGCGCTGTCACGGCTGCAGAATGCTTCCATCTTCACAGGGTCTGCCTTCCGGGTTCACGGGCTGCAGCTGCCTGAATGGCCAGTCGCCAATTACACCACTCCCGTGCACGCATGAGGGAGTTTCGGCCATGGCACTAAGTTCTGAAGGAATGGCACGGGTATGCCTTTCCTTCAGAGCGCATGTACCAGTATTGTCACCGGATGCAAAGTGACAAAAAAGAGCCCTCTTTGGCCCCAACCTCTATAAGCATTAAACAATACACAGTGGGCATACAAATTCATTCACCACTCTAAACAATTCTATAGTCTCTCTATGACTCAACTATCAGTGTTTGAGCTGCAAATGTAAATCCCCGCTTGATCATCCAGCAATTAAACCTCACTGAACAGCAACACACCTATGTCTATTCTTGCTGACCAACTTCCTAACTCACAGAGCACCAAAAAATGTCCATGTAAATGGTACCCTGAGAAGAAAGATTTTGCAGTGAGAAATGCATATCTTACCCAATACAGCAACCAATTCTGCGTAACTCAGAAAAGACCAGTGTCTGGAATTGAGCACTACCAGGGGCGGACTGACCATTCGAGCACGCGGGCACTGTCCGAGGGCCCGGGGGTCAGTAGGGGACTCCATGAAATACCTTTTATAGGCTTTTTTGGGTGTGTTTTGAGTGTGGGCAAGGACAAAGGGGCCCCATGATCCCCTATTGCCCGGGGACCCCATGAGTTGTCAGTCCGCTCCTGAGCACTACAATTCCCTTCCCAACTCCTCACGGCCTGTTGTATCATTATAATTCTTAGTCAACAACTTGAACCAGAATGCTAACACAGCCAATACCCCATTCATACTGGATACCGATGGCTCAGCATTTATAATGTAACACAGCAGTAAGGTTGTTCTGTCTTCATCTGAAGAACATTCCCCTGCAAAACCAACCAATCCCTCCATGCTGTTGAGTAAGCCACCCACATGCCTGTCCTTACTGAGTTAATCGTGAAATCAAATGAAAACTTAGTGCCACTTTTCATAGCTGTTTGATGCCCTACCTGCTATTTTGCTTCCGTTGCCAGCTTCCTGTACCTATCTCATTAAAAAAGAGATGAGCCAGCTACAGAGTTCATAACACCAGGACATTTTCAATTTATATAAAACAGTTTTAACATGAATTGCTCTGAAACTACTAAGCAACTTATTCACTCCCTTGTTATCTCTCGCCTTGACTATTGTAACTCCCTCCTCATTGGCCTATCTCATTGCAGGCTATCCCCTCTAGAGTCTATCATGAATGCTGCTGCCAGACTTATCCACCTTACTAACCATTCCATATCTGCCATCCCTCTCTGCCAATCCCTCCACTGGCTTCCCATTGCCCAACGGATAAAATTCAAAACATTAACAATAACATATAAAGCCATTTATAACTTTGCCCCAAATTACATCACCAATCTTGTCTCCAAATATCACCCAAACCATACTCTCCACTCCTCCCACGACCTCCTGCTCTCTAGCTCCCTTGTCTCCACCTCCCATGCTCGTCTCCAGAACTTCTTCAGAGCTTCCCCCATCCTCTGGAACTCTCTACCCCAATTTATCAGACTATCGCCTACTCTGCTCACTTTTAGAAGATCTCTGAAAACCTATCTCTTCAGGGAAGCTTATCCTGCCCTCAGCTAATAATGGAAGCTTCTATTCCTCCTACCAGTCCATCCCCCTTAGTTACTACCTTTTTGTGCCAGTACCACTAGCCCCTCCCTCTTAGATTGTAAGCTCCAAGGAGCAGGGCCCTCCTAACTCTCTTGTATTGAACTGTATCGTTGCTGTATTGTCTCCTGTTATATTGTAAAGTGCTGAGCAAACTGTTGGCACTATATAAATCCTTTATAATAATAATAATAGCGTTTTTGGATTTTTTTTTACCAAGAAAAAACATTTTGGGGTAAAAAAAAACCTCTAAAAAACACTAAAAAATGCAAATGCAAAAAAACTGAAAAATGCCACTAAACGCTAATAAAAAAATGCTGAAAACCACTGAAAAATCACGTTTTTAACATGACTTTACACAGCTAACCTTACCAGTGTTATTAAAACACCCAGTGTGCATGGAGCCTTTAGGTCACTATAGCTGTACAACTGGAGGAGACAAATTCGGCAACCTATTTACTGCTTCCACCGTACAGTTGTCACATTGAAAACTAATATTAGTGCTTAACTTAGGCCCAAATTGCTACTGCCACCACAATAGGCAACAGCTTGAAAAGTGCCAGATTTGTCAAGAAACCTGATTCATGCCACTCAGCTGACCCAGTGGTATCGCTATGGGGTTTCAGGGGGCTGAGGACTGCACCCGGGTGACACAGACTAGAGGGGTAATAACTAAAGTGTAACACCTACGCTGTCTGTATGTGCTAAGGAATACGAACATGAATCCTTATGTGGCTGCTGCTGGCATGGGTATGCGTTCCCACTACTATAAAACTTAAATTAAAATAGATGATTAATTATGTGTCCAGTGCTAGAATGTGAAGATATAGATGAATAAAGGTAAATCACTCAATAAAAATGGAACTTAATAAACAATTTCAACATAAAAAAATCACAGTGAAGTAAATGACCTCTCCTTTAAATCCAAACAAATTGTGCCCAAATTAAAAGTGACACGAGAAAATATATATATAGTCCTAATAGAGTCTTTATAGAATCAGAATCAGCAATATTTAAATAGACCTGCAGTGGATGGTGAGGATTAACTCCAATATAAATGGTGCTCCAGCATCTAATTCAATTGTGAGAATAGTGCCGACTTCAACACCTAAGTGCTCACAGAATTCTCACCTTAGTAAGCATATATAAACACCTGTCAATGATAAATCATCATCCTCCTCCTCCAGAAGACACCTCCAGCGCCAGTTTCCCACTAGGAATCCTGTTCCTGTATTCTCCACCAATAGATGGGTCAAGGCCCCTTTAAGGTCCTGAAAAAGAACACACAGTGGGGCGCAAATGTCTAGAGCATTACCCAAGGTTTATTGGAAAAATTTAACGAAAAGCCAAATGCATACTCACAAACATCAAAGGTAAAAAACATCACAAAAGACTGCTGGTCAATCAAAATGGTGGGTTCCCAACTGCTGGTAGTGTTGGCAAACTGACATGTTTTGGGGACCTGTCCCCTTCCTCAGAGCTCCCTTTAAGGTCCGCTGCTATACATGCCTCTACATATCTCAACCCAAATGGGGAATGGAAAAAGCCACCAATGGTGAAGTATGTAAAGACCAGGGGCGGACTGACCATTCGGTCACTCGGAATGTGGCTCAGATCGGGGATTCTGAGATGGGAGCAGATAAGGAGCTGGGACTGTCAGTGACAGTGAGGAGAGATGGGGAGGAGGTGGCATCAGCAGAAGCCCCCAATCCAGAAAGTAGCTTTTATTATTATTATTATACAGTATTTATAAAGCGCCAATAGTTCGCTCAGCGCTGTACATTACAAGATACTGTATATTAGGTGAATAGACATTGGCTCCTTCACCACTGAGTCTCTCTCTCATCCTCTCTCTTTCTCCCCTCCTCTCTCTCTCCTTCTCTCTCTCTCCTTCCCTCTCTCTCTTACCCTCTCTCCTTCCTTCTCGCTCTCTCTCTCTCCCTCTCTTCTCCCTCTCTCCCCCACCCTCACTCTCCCCCTCTCTCTTACCCTCTCTCCCTCCTTCTCTCTCTCACAATCTCTCTCTCTCACCCCCCACTCTCACCCTCTCCCTCTCACACCCTCTCCCTCTCTCACCCCTCTATCTTTCTCTGTCTCCCCCCACCTCTCTTACCCTCTCTCTCTCAATCTCTCTCTCACCCCCCCCTCTCTCCCGCTCACACCCTCTCTCACACACTCTCTCTCTCACCCTCTCTCTTTTCTCTCACCCCTCCCTTTCTCTCACCCTCCCTCTCTTTCCCCCTCTCACCCTCCCTCTCTCTCTCACCCCCCTCCCTCTCTCTCACTCTCCCTCTATCTCACCCTCTCCCTCTCTCTCCCATCCTCTCCCTCTCTCTCCCACTTACCCTCTCCCCACTCTCATCCTCTCCCTCTCATTCTCTCTTTTCACACCCTCTCTCACTCTCTCTCTCTCACCCTCTCTCTCCCTCTCTATCTATCACCTCCCCTTTCTCACCTTCCTCTCCCCCCACCTTCTCTCCCCTTCCTACATCTCTCTTCTGCTTTTCCATCTCTCCCTCTCCCTCCCCTCTTTTGTCTCTATCACTCTATCTTCCACTCTTAGTTTCTAAAAGGAGTTTCTGTCATATTTCAGTAAAAAATTCACTGTCAGATTTTTTATGGTCTGTCAGTAAAAAAAAGGGTTGTGGGGGGGGGGGGTGACTCCCCTGTCAGGAAAGAGGCTGAGTGGGAGCTGAACAGCTGCACAAGGCAATTAACCTCACAGTCATCGGGCATCTTTACTGTACAATGTAACCAGCAGGTGTTGCCTACAGCCCCCGAAAACCACATCCATTTTTGTGGTGCACACCACACTGCTTTCTGTGCTGTCAGGGCCCAAATTATGTTCTTGGACACAGGCCCCTGCTTTCATAAATTGCCCCTGGTTGCATCATAAAGATGACTGCTATGACACAGCCATCTTTAAACCTGGAAGTGCCCAGTGGCGTCTACAGAAAGAAGCCAAGAACTTCCCTGCAGGCTACCCACACAACACCCCCCATGCAGCTGAGCTGCAATATGTAGGTGGGGCATTGTGTGGGTGTGGACAGGGACACAGGAGGCCCCATTATCTCCTATTGCCTGGGGGCCCCATGAGTTGTCAGTCCGCCACTGGTAAAGACTAAATATTTTTATTAAAAGGTATCACACTTACATTTGAAAACTGGTTAAAACCATGTGTCATTTCTGGGCCGTCGTTTGCCTATGTACACGCCCTATGCCTTACATCACGGTCATGTGACTTCATCAGGAGAAAACAGCCAGCAGATTTCATGTCCTTAAAGAGTTGCAGTCAAACTGTAAAACAATAAGAGTCAGTAACTACAAAAACTGTAGCTGCTGACTTTTAAAAATCCTCACTCACCTGTCCCTCGATCCTGTGGTGTCCTCCCCGCAGCCCGTTTCACCTGCTGTCCTGTGTTCCCGGCGCTGGCATCTTCAGTGTGGGCAAGCCACAACATGTCACAGCCAGATGCCCACTGCACATGCGCGAGCAGCACTGCGCTTTCTGAATGGTCTCCCGTAGTCTTCTGGGACCTGTCACATGTCCCTGAAGATTACGGGGAGGGATTGGGGGGCGCTGGACAACTTCCACTTGCGATCGCCTAGACAATCGCAGCAAAAGTGGGAGTGGGCACCTGTCAATTTCAGGTACTCCCTCCCCCTCGCTCCCCCCAAAGGTGCCAATCCCTAATGGGGAACGGGGGACCTGTCCTTAAAGCGGAACTTCCTATTTTGGGTTCAGCTCTGCTTTAAATAGCCCTATACAGTATAATGGGTTGGTGGCCATTTTGTTTTAGTCTATAGTATTGTGATGCAGTGGCCATTTTCCCTGTGATTCTCATTACATAACCCTATATGATGTAATGGGTTGGTGGCCATTTTGTTGTAGTCCATATTGTTGTAATGCGGTGGCCATTTCCCCTGTGATTCACATTCACATATCAATAAGGGACCATAATACTGCTCATCCCTACTCTCAAAGATGATAAGTGTAGGCACGATATTGACATCTCACCACATGGGCCTGCCATCTTCCCCATTTCCCTCCTTTCCCACTTTTTCCAAGACAATCTGAGGGTGCAAATAAGCAGGCTTCAAGTTTTTTGGTATTGCAAATGTCATCAGACATCAGCATGCTAGAACAAGGTATTCTAAAACTATGATTAAAACCTTCCTCCAGTGAAATGCAAACGTCACATCCCTCCTCAGATACCTACTTAGATATGGCACCATCACACATTTTCCTAAACAGGCTGGGGACTGCCTTTGTCTCTTTAAGGGTCATGCCTGCTTCTCTTGAATGCTGTAAATTCTCTTAGCGCTGATCTCCTCCAGCTGCACAGGGACTCCTGGGATATAGCTGAAGAAAGCTGGCTCCTTCTATCCTTTGCTGCTGAGCTGCAGTAAGGGCTCGTTCACACTAGGCTGTTTTGCCAACACTTGCCAAACGCCCCTATAGCGTTTGGCAAGCGTTGGTCCGGCGTTTGCCGAGCGTTATTAACGCTCGGCAAACGCTCCGCAAACGCCGCATGCGCGGTTTAGCGGCGGTTGCTAGGCGTTTGCCGAGCGTTAATAACGCCCCACAAACGCCTATAATGCAGTTTGAGTGGTGTTACCGCTCCGCAAACGCCCCGCAATCGCGTCGCGACCGCACCGCAAACGCCGGCCGGGCGTTTGCGGAGCGGCACCATAGACAAGAATAGGAGGCTTCAAAGCCTCCTGACTCGTCCAGAGGCGTCCGTTTTGCCGCGACGCAACGCGACGCAACGCAAACGCTCCCGTTAGAACAGCACCATGTGCTGTAATGTGCAGAATTGGCAGAGGCGTTTGGGAAGCGGTAAAAACGCTTACCAAACGCCTCTCTGCCGCCTGCACACAAGGCTAGTGTGAACGTAGCCTAAGACATCCCCCACCTAGTGCTACCGCAGTGGGGATTGCTGAATGCTCCCAGACCTTCTGTTCTGGAGAGCAGTCAAAGGGAGCCTCTCGCCCCTTTTGCTAGATTCAGTTCTGTCTCTTCATCAGGCTGTCCATCTGCTTGGCTATTCAGCTGAAGGGGTGGCTGTAAGCTCCAGAGCCCTGTGAACTGAAGGAGCAGCCTGAGGGACCCTTTTCTGTAGGCTGCTCACTTTGTCTCTGCTCACCCCCCCCTGCCTAGTACATCTGTAAAAGGGGTAGCTGCAGGCTTTGGATGCTGAAATGGAAGGTAGAAGAGAGTCTGCAGCACAGATCACTGCCTCCCTGGGGTCCTATCAGCGAAGGGGATTCCTCCCGTCACTAGCTGCAGCATGCCTAGAGAGCATGACGATACTGAGGTCTAACAAACCCCAAAATTGAGTGGGGAAAATTTGTGGAGTCGTCCTCTGGATCAACTGTGGGTATAGGATTATAACTTTTTTTTTTATTTCATGGTTGAACTGGATGAACTTTTGTCTTTTTTCAGCCAGACTAACTATGTACTTATCAAAATGGCACCCTCCATTTCTACAAAACGTGCAAGTCAGTGACAAAAGAAAACAGCCAGATTAAAGTGTTACTAAACCACAACAGTAAAATCAGTCTGTATATGCAGTAAAGCATGCTTGTTATACTCACTAGGGAACCTAAGGGGTTAATCCTCTGCATTGTGTACAAAGGGTGTTTGATCCTGTTTTCTCTGCCCCTCCTCTTGTTCAAATGGCCACCTGATAAGACAGAGTGAACCCGTAGTCACATGCGCATGCCCAGTTTAGTGTGCATTGCTAAAGAGGTTTTTTTTTTCTTGGGAGAGTGCATGTGATCAGCACAGGGCCAATCAGCACTGTCCATACAGAGGGTCAGGGGTTTTGCATCCTCCTAGAGCAGAAAGAAAACTCCTCCTACAAGCTTTAACCAGTGCTCTAACTGCTGATGAGAAAAGGTATTTAGCAGTTTATATTTACTAAAATAATTGCATTTCCATGTTCTGTGTACTGTGGGAGACCAGATAGAGTGAATGCAGGGTCCTGGGTTTAGAAACACTTTAAGACACACAGAACAGGTGTCAAACTGGCGGATCTTCAGCTGCTGCCAAACTACAAGTCCCATGAGGCATTGCAATATTGACAGTTACAAGCATGACTCCCAAAGGTAGAGGCATGATGGGTAGTTTTGTAACAGCTGGAGGGCTGCCAGTTTGACACCCCTGACCAGGGGCGGACTCACCCATTTGGAAACTCGGGCACTGCCCGAGGGCCCGGGGTCAGTAGGGGGCCCCATGAGATGCCCCTGGTACCTTTTTCATAGGCTTTTTTGAGTTTGGGCAAGGACACAGGGGCCCCATGATCTCCTATTGCCCGGGGGCCCCATGAGTTGTCAGTCCGCCTCTGGCCCTGACCTAAAGATAGTCAGAGTAGGAGACAGCCGGACAGTCATAGGATTGCATCCATGGACTCTTCTAGCTAATAAGAACGCAATGTGTATTGCATGTACCATAAGAAATAATCAGAACATGCCTTATCATTTAAAAAACAGTTATTAGTACACTATAATGCACTCACATGTAAATGCTGTAATACGCACTGTTAAAATGCTCCACACATTCGCTAGCAATTCAGTAGTATATACTTGCTAGTATCTGTCTCCTTCCACAGAGCGTCGTGATGTCAGAGCCCCTCCCCCACGCGTTGCACCACCAGGTCATATGGCTTCATCAGGGGGAATTCCTCCTGTTCTGATTATTTTTTATGGTACATGGACCAATGGAGGAAGATCACCAAAGAAGTGAGGGGATCCAAATCCTTTAGGATAACAATCCCATCCAGCCACAGTCCACTTAAGGAACACAAGCTATTTATGACTGACCTCACTTAACGGTTTGGTCATATTTACCAGGTGAGAGCACAACTGGTGAAGGTGCACATATGGTTGTTATGACAACACATTAGAGGTGAATCAAGGACAAGTCGATTTATCCACAATACTTTGAGGGAGTGTGAATGGTCACGGATGAAATATGAACACTGTTTTAATTTTAATAATTTTTTTGGGAAGAGATATACAAATTTTGGAAGAGATTTATAAATTTTGGAGATTATATAATTTTTTTTATATGTTTATTAATGGAGCGTGACACAAATTTATTGTATTTGCACATAGTAGTGTTTAGGCTATCATTTATGAGAGTCAGTGACTCTGATACATCTTATTGGACTCTGCAGGAACAAAAGACCAGGTGAACTTTGCTAAGTACTTTTCATTTTTAATCCAGTTTATTTTAGTGTTAGCTTAATGTCTGTTTTGTATTTTTTTCTGTTAATATTTTCTTGCTCTATTTTTCTTTTTTTCACTAAAATGATATTTTAAAAAATCATCAAGCTTCACTATATAGAAAAAAACTTTTTCGAGAGAATTTTTTTTCTTACGTTCTAGTATTAATTATAGCAAATAAAAATGCAAAGACACATCCAAAATTAAAATTTTTTGGTTAATTTTGTCTAAATTTTTTTAAATGAAGAAATATGCTGGTATTAAGGTGGTTAAAAAATAAATTACAAAAATAAAGGTGCGGTGTGATTAGCCTTTAAAGTGGTTCTAAAGGCTCAAGGTAAAAAAAACCTTCTGTGTGTAGCAGCTCCCCCAGCCCCCTCTAACCTGAGCCCCATCCCGATCCAGCAATGTCCACAAGAGCCTTGGTTCTCTGGGGAGTCTCATTTATGATTGGATGAGGCATCAGCAGGAGCCATTGGTTCCCACTGCTGTCAATCACATCCAGTAAGCCAACCAAGAGAGGGAGGGGCGAGGCGAAGCTGTGGCTCTGTGTGTGAATGGACACGCAGAGCCGTGGCTCAGGAGTGTGCCTGCTCAGGTGCCCCATAGCAAGCTGCTTGTTGTGGGGGCACCTGACAGGAGGGAGGGGCAAGCAGCGCCGGCCGGGGGACCGAAAAGGAGATCCTGGCTGCTCTCTGCAAAACCACTGCACACAGCAGGTAAGTATAGACATGTTTGTTATTTAAAAAAAACAAAACAAGATTTTAGTATTACTTAACCACTTGCGCTCCAGAAGATTTACCTCCCTTCCTGACCAGGCCATTTTCTGCAATACAGCACTGCGTTACTTTAACTGACAACTGTGTGGTCATGCAACACTGTACATAATTGAAATTTATGTCATTTTTTCCCCCCACAAATAGAGCTTTCTTTCGGTGCTATTTAATCACTTCTGCATTTTTTATTTTTTGTTCTATAAACAAAAAAGCCTGACAATTTTGAAAAAAACTATATTTTTTACTTTTTGCTATAAAACATATCTAATAAAAAAATTAAAAAAATAAAATTTTCATAATAAATTTAGGCTTAAAAAAAAATCCCAATACATGTATATTATTGGTTTCCGTGAAAATTATAGCATCTACAAATGGCTGTATATATACTGGGATTTTTTAGTAATTTATTTTTTTTGTACCAGTAATGGCAGCGATTAATGACTTATAGCGGGACTGCGGCGGGCAATCTGACTGGGTCGGAACTGACTAACTGCCACTGACTTCTCCAGAAGGGGGGGACTGACAACTCATGGGGCCCCTGTGTCCTTACCCAAACTCAAAAAAGCCTATGAAAAAAGTACCAGGGGCATCTCATGGGGCCCCCTACTGACCCCGGGCCCTCGGGCAGTGCCCGAGTTTCCAAATGGTCAGTCCACCCCTGATCTCCAGTAAGACTAATACAGTGATCAGTGCTAATAAAAAGCACTGACACTGTAATAATGACACTGGGCAGGAAGGGGTTAACATTTGGGGCAATCAAAGGGTTAACTGTGTGTTTAAGGAGTGATTTTATTGTGTACTGTTTTACTAAGCAGACCTGCTGCTTACTATCTTTTGTTGTTTACACACAGATCTCTCACCTCTCAGCTTTGCCAACAATCATCGAGTCTCGGCTGAAAACCGCCGATCGGGACCCAGTGATTGATATCCTCAGGAGCCAATAGAAACGCTGGAGCCCAAAATGCTTTAAACATCCCCCCCAATTATTGGTCAGTGGTATTATAGAGGCCTTGTAGAATAAAATGACAGCTGTTGAATTTTTTATGTCAATGTCACACTAAATGTGTGCAACTGCTTTTCCACATGCCCTCCAGAAGCTTTTACCCCCTTCATGACCAGGCCATTTTTTTTTTTTTTTTTTTTAGCACTGTGCTACTTTAACTGGTAAATGCACGGTCATGCAACGCTGTACTCAAATGAAATTTATATCTTTTTTTGCACACAAATAGAGCTTTTGGTGGTATTTGGTTACCACTGGTTTTTTATTATATAAATTAAAATTAAATAATGTAATTAACTAAATATTATATCAATTTAAAAGACTGGAAGTTTTGAAAAACAAAAATTCTAGTAAGTGTATATTAATTGGTTTGTGTGAAATTTATAGGGTCTACAAACTACTGACAATGAATGAAAAATTTGATGCAATGCACCACCCATCTTACGATGTAGCCTGCTATATAAAAAAATAAAAATAAAATGTCATCATGTGGACAGAAACAAGCTGTTCCAAAAAAATCTATTAAATATAAAAAGAAAAACTGCACTTGGTGTAAAAAATATAAAATAATAATAATAACCGTGAGAAAATAATAGTACAGGAGCACTCAAAAACACATAGATTCAACCATGTAATACATCCAAAACCAAAAAAGGTATAGAGCAACAAATTTTGTTTTAAAAAATCAATTGCAGCCAGGAAAAAAATAGGAAATATGCCCTTTTAAAAACACACAAACTCACATCCAGTCTGTTATGAAGGTAGACAATGCTAAAAGGCTGTAAAGAAACTTCAGGACACCTTCCTCCTTCCGCAATCACAAATATAATTTTTTTTCCTGTGTTTATTTTCATTTTTCCATTTTGGACCAAGCCAGAGTGACATGTCCCTAGTCTTGCAGCCTACTCAGATACTAATGCATATCTCCTAGGAGGATGCAGGACCAAGCACACAGAGCCAGGGTAGGTCTGTCACAGAAGCTGAGTCCATAAGAGGCAGCTAGTTGAAGAGGACCAAGCAGTGCCGGGTCAAGGCCATTCAGCTCCCAGGATGAAGAAGCCAAACTGCGAGCTTCGTGGATGCTACCCCCAGTAGTCATTCACTTATCTAAATGCCTTGTATCACTGGTGCCCCCATCCATACAGTGAACCGCTGTGCCCAGGGAATCTGCCATTCCTGCCCACCCCTTGTCCTGGCCTTGGGACCAAGATATTGCCTCAGGACATGAGCTATGTCACCCAAACCACACAGATTACAGCAGGAAAATGTTGGAATTGCTGTGTGGGTGAATGTGACCTTTGAAGATAATCCAGCAATACAGGTAAGAAAGGGAAAACAAATATGAGGTTGTTAGGTTCCACTTTGGGTTGATTCTCTTCCAAACCCCCAAATTCCACAGGTTGCACAACATCTTGCTACCTAAAGGACCCATAATACTTTAAAATCCCAAATTATTGCTCATTATAAGTTACCTGATATAAATTCAGAGGGCCGGAAGAGCATTAATGGTAACTGGTTGCTCTGGCTGTGAATGGCTGCATTACTGCTTTTTTCTGTGAGTTGAGGAACACCCTCCTAGATAGGTTGCTAGGATGTTATGTAAAGTTAGTTTTCTTTTTGGCACCTCTGTATTCATTGGAGCAGCTATTGATTGCTCTGCAGGGTGCAGATTTGATTGTTTCCTCTCGCATTCTAGATGTTTCTAGAACATAGCTGGCTGAAAAGTCACATGAGCAACCTAATATATATTGCACTTCAGCCAATCCCTGGAGAGATATGCCAATCAGGTAGCTGGAGAGGTACATAAATGCAGGCGTACCTCGGTTTACCAATACCTCAGTTAACGTCATTTTCGGTTTACGAATGAAAATCCATTGAAAATAATGCCTCTGTTTACGAATTTGTTTTTCAATATGAAGTAAGTTTCCCCAGGATGCATTGCACCTGGGAGGTTTATAGCGCCGGCCCCGTGCCTTTAAAAGTGCACTTAATAAAGAGTTTTGAACAGATAAGACTTTTTTTACTTTTTCTGACCTCCGGAATGGATTAATTGGTTTTCAATGTAGTTACGAATTTTTTTAATCATGTCCCTGTACTGTATTTATGCCTTTAAAGTGCACTTTATAAAGAGTTCTGAACAGATAAGACTTTTTTTTTACTTTTTTCTGACCTCCAGAATGGATTAATTGGTTTTCAATGCATTTACAAATTTTTAATCATGTCCCTTTACAGTATTTATGTCCTTAAAGAGCACTTTATAAAGAGTTTTGAACAGATGAAAGATTGTTTTTTTTTTTTTTTCTGACCTCCAGAATGGATTAATTGGTTTTCAATGCATACCTATGGGAAACTAGTTTACTAATTTCTCGCAATATGAAACACCCCAGAGAACGCATTCAATTCGTAAACCAAGGTACGTCTGTTCTTTGAGCTTTAGAACAGAAGGGTGTTCCTGTTGAAGGAATTAACATCCCCCCATAGCAGTTCTACTGATTCAAGTCAACGTTTATCCTGCTGGAGTTTTGAAGGGTCTAGCTATCCTGTGGCATTGTGGGTATTAACTACTCCCTCACTGAAGAGTGTCTAGTGCAGGGGTGGCTAACCTGTGGCTCTCCAGCTGTTGTGGAACTACATTTTCCCATGAGGCATTGCAAAGATGGGAAGTTACTGACTTGCAGAGGCATGATGGAACTTGTAGTCCTGCAGCAGCTGGAGAGCCGCAGGTTGGCCACCCCTGGTCTAGTGGATACTGGAAGGAGGCATCCTACTATCCTGTGACATTGTGAGTACTGACCTGAGCTCAAGGTCCTAGTGAATGGTGTCCTTTGGGTGAGAGTGCTAGTAGTGGCTGAGACAACCCTTGCAAGGTTTCAGTTCTTATTTTGTTTCTGGTGTAAAGACATTTCAGAGAAGCTAACAAAGTGTAGTGTGTCCTCCTGTTCCTATGTAATGCTTCAGGAGTATCCCATACTGTCCTACACCTCTCCAAATTTATTCAGCAACAAATACAAAAAAGACATCCCCTAGACCAGGGGTGCCACACTCATTTTCATTGTGGGCAACATCAGCATATTGATTACCCTCAAAGGGCTAGTTGCATCTTTAAGACTATATATTGTATATATATATCTACTCTTTATCATAATAAATAATTGCCTCTGTATTCGATTTTTTACTGGTTTTAGTAATAAATTGAGACTTAAGCTGTGAAGGGCAGGTGCAGACCCACAGCAGATGATGCAAATCTGAAAATGAGGGTCATACACCACTGGTATCATCCATGAGAAACTTTATTAAAAAATGCTCAGGCAGAACATGACTGCTATGGTGTTCTGTCTGTGCAGTCTCCAATAACATTTCTTGTGGATGATAGCAGCTGTTTGTTACCCTCCTTTTCAACTGGCACAGAACTGTATTATTCTCCTAAAATTATAGGCAGATGTCCAGAGCAGCCTACCCTTACATCAGATGTCAAGAGTCACCCATCCTTCCTTACATCACAGTGCACCCCCTTACTAGGGGAGGTGGAGTAAAGGGAATCCTGCAGCTGCACAGGGAGGTGCAGGATCTGTAGGAGGAGTTCTGTCCTCCTTTCTGCTGCCAACTGCTGGGGGGGGATCAGTAAAGATCCTCTCCATGGCTGCATGGAGAGGTGCAGGCACTGGTGGAGGAGTTCTGTCCTCATCTCTGCTGCTAAGAAGAGGTGGGCCACAGGTGCAGGAACAGCGCCATATAAAAAGGCCAGTGGGGCCATATTGTATATGACACATGTGCCCTAGACTGTTTATTGAGCTGGGGTATCTAAACTGTTGCCATTTGCCTGGCTGCCTCTGCACTTCTTTAGGAAAAAACCTGTTAAATTACAGTGGCTCCTTTGGGGGTAGTGCTACAGTCGGGTTCACCTCAAACTCATGTTTGACCCAAACCTGAAGCTCATCCATACTGATTACCATCCTTATTCTATATTAATAATATAATCCTGGTTAACAGACTAAGAATCCTACATGCTCTCACAGTGAGAAAAGGATAGGTACAATGCAGGTTTTAGTGGAAAAGCTGGACGGAGGGAAAAGAAACTGTATCTAAACCAGGTGGAGATGATTATCTAAGTACAGGGGCGGATGTAGATTTAGAAAAGCATTCATTTCTATTACGTAGTGCATACAATGTATCTATAGATGTCTTCCAACACAACCACAGTGTGCTGATCTAAACATTTATAGGAACAGCAGAATACACTGCACATTTGATGAACTCTAAAATGCATATATACACGTACTGTGTGGTTATGCTACAGGGCACTAAACCCCAATGGAACTTCTAAAGTTTGTTTTTCTTTGTCCAAAAAGTACACATTATTTCTTAAAACCACGTCTTTAAGGTAGAGCTGATAGAAGGTGTCATTATACCCTAGGTGCTGTGGGTTCTGCTATGAATAGCAAATATAACAGGGTGTAGGGGCTATAGCTGCTCCCAAATTTCAATCTCTTCACCGAATGGCTACTATGAATCAGGGGAACAAACTATACCATCACTTTGATCTGAAAGCTTTTGTTGACTCCTCCTTTGAGTTCATGATATCTGCCTTTTCACATCCCCTTCCTACAAGCAGGGGTGGACTGACCATTCGGACATTGGGTATGGGGCACCATCAGGGATGGACTGACAACT